GGCATGCGGGGAGACCGGGAGTCGAACCACCAACTTGCTGGTTAGGAGACAACTGCCCTACCTCATGAGCCACAGCCACCCTACATAAAAGCAGAATACAGACATTTTTACCAGCAAACACCTACTTTGTCCTTAACTTTTCAGTCCTCCACACTGGATCTTGGAGGTATGCATGCATAAAAGCTTGCATATTGAGGCAAATCAATAAGCATACATTTTTCTTTGAACATTGTCACATCAAATACCAGTTTCCTGCCCCACAATACTCTTTTTCAGACCTATTACATTTTCTTCATCAATCAGTGTACTGTGTGATCTGTCATACTGTCTTCTGACAGCAAAGCATGTTTTGTTACCTTGTTGCTCTATTATAATGTAATAATAAACATTGATTGTGTCCATTCTGTAACAAAACAGTGAAACTATTCCTTTTTACTACTCTGGTAAACTCCTGTGAGTAATACAGTTGTCCTCTGACTAGAAGTCTACTGAATATTTTCACAACTGTATCGACATTGACTGAAAGTTGTTCTCTCACTGCCAGTATCTCTTCACCAGTAAGTTTTCATGAATAATGCAAACCAAATGTAACAACCTGATCTGCTACTCTTTCAAACTGCTTCAGTCTTTTTTGACCAGTTAAGTGGTTATAAGCTTGGAAGCACTCAGATTTAGCATTTTTCAGTGCACCATTTCTAAAAAGGGGCAGTATCTGTCTGTAAGTGAATTCTTTCATTATTTGTAAAGGAATACACTGAGTGCCATGAAACATTTTTAGTATTTCCCCATTAAATGATTCAAAAATATATCCTGAATGTGCCCACAAAGGTCCCCAGTTCTTTACAGATTCGGGCAAATGAATACATAAATGTTCATTGAAGGACACATTTTGCTTTCCATAGTGTTTCAAATTGTTTGACAAAATCTACACCACACTTTTCACATCTTTCTTTTTAACTCCTCTGTCGTAATAATGTTCTTGCATAGCAAGAACATGAATGTGGCAAGTATTAACCAGTGCTGGTAAAATACCTGGGGCAAAATTCCTTTTAGAACAAAGATACTGTAAAAAAGTAACCAGTTCTGCCATTCGCTAGCCTTCCAAAACCTCCTTTGCTGAAGAGATCAGGGCACTCTTGTCACATTGCAAGGTGGCTTAATTAGTAAGAGCTGTTGATCAAGTTCAGTCACTCTGTTCCCAGTTTAATATGGTTTCTCATGGTTTTCAATGTCCAGCCACAGACTTGCCATTTGCCTAACCACACCGAGATGTAGATTGTATATTTGGTCAAAAGGCATGCCAGATATGATGTCAAAGTGTGGAATGTTTTTAAGACATGCGGGTCCTTTAACCCCTCTCACAGATTTTGTGGGATGCAGAACCTCCTTTGCATCACTTATGGTTGAAGTGTGGTCCCTTTTTGGTACATCTTTGTATGGGTATGCCCTAACAGTACCATTTCCCTTCTGAACTTGTTCACCGGGATGTAGACAGAGGCTGCACCCGTCCTGACCATTAAACTGGGTCATGTTTTATAGTATAGGCCTGTCAACTGAATCACACATCATAAGAGCTGCCACACTCCTATATTGTTCCAAAATGCCATTTCTTATTGATGTGAAGCCCACAGTTGACAACTTCTGACACTCTTGAGTGAATGGCTTTAAAAATGTCTTGACATTTGGCTTTTTACTGCCAAACCACAAGGCAAAAAGTAAAACGTTTTCTTTGTGTACAGGGTAAGGAAGCTCATTTACAATCCCTTGTAATGGCCAAATACTATACAGTGATGATTTAAATACAGGCATTCCATCACAGTTGAGTGTTAAGAAATATCCATGAGGGCAATCAAGCGGGCCTCCACTTTTGAACTTGTTAATAAAATGCTGAACATTTTGACCCCTGAAAGGCATATCTACCTGAAAGTATGCTGAAGTACAATTTTCCCATTAATTTGAATGGGGGGAAATTTTCAAAATAAAGCTAAATATTTCACAAGTGTGAAGTGTATAAAAATTCTGAGTCGAAGAATGAATGTCCTGGGAGACTTGAACATTTTGATACCTGAAATACCTGAAAGTATGCTTAAGTAGAATTTCCCCATTCATTTGAAAGGGGCAAACTTTTCAGAATAAAGATAAATATTTTAAAAGTGTTATGTTTTGAAAAATTGTTAATAGAAGCATGAATGTCCTTGAAAAGCTGAACATTTTGATACCTGAAATAGGTGAAGGTATTCTGAAGTAGAATTTCCCCGTTCATTTGAATCAGGGAAAACTTTCAAAATAAAGATAAATATTTCAAAGGTATGAAATTTAGAAAAATTCTGAAGAGAAGCATGAATGTACTTGGAGAGCTGAACATTTTGATACCTGAAATAGGTGAAGGTATTCTGAAGTAGAATTTCCCCGTTCATTTGAATCAGGGAAAACTTTCAAAATAAAGATAAATATTTCAAAGGTATGAAATTTAGAAAAATTCTGAAGAGAAGCATGAATGTACTTGGAGAGCTGAACATTTTGATACCTGAAATAGGTGAAGGTATTCTGAAGTAGAATTTCCCCGTTCATTTGAATCAGGGAAAACTTTCAAAATAAAGATAAATATTTCAAAGGTATGAAATTTAGAAAAATTCTGAAGAGAAGCATGAATGTACTTGGAGAGCTGAACATTTTGATACCTGAAATAGGTGAAGGTATTCTGAAGTAGAATTTCCCCATTCATTTGAATGGGGCAAGATTTTCAAAATAAAGAAAAATATTTCAAAAATATGAAGTTTAGAAAACTTGTGAGTAGTAGTATACCTTTGATACGAAATAAATGAGAATAATAATAATAAGGACCAGGATAATATAGTATGGATGCTATATGTATGTATGGATGGATGCTTTTCAGTATCCGTACAATAAGAGGAAAACATAGTGTGGATGCTATAGGATCCACACAATAAAAAACAGGATAACATAGTATGGATGCTGAGTCAGCATCCATACAATAAATAAATGCCAGGATAGCATAGTGTGGATGCTTTACAGCATCCACACAATAACAAGAAACCTAATGATTGTCTTCAAAAATGTCATTGCAAGATACTTGGAAAGCATTAAGCTCAAAAAGTGCTGAAGCTGTTAAAAATTACATTTATGTGAAGTTTATGGAATTTAAATTATTTATTTACCTATTTATGATGCCTTGTGTTCTCTTTTTTTATCTAATTAGAAAAAAATCTTCCCTTTCAGCAGTTTGGACGCATGCGCAGTCCGAGTCGCTCGCTGCCGTGAGTCATGCTCACTGCTAATTGGTCAGTTTAGAGAAAGGGGGTGGTGACGGAGGGGCTTTCCCCCGCTAATCTGTTAAAAGATATTACCTTTTGCTGTCCGCTGTCACTCATACAGCTCGGAATTTTCTAAGAGAAGATAACCCGTGGGACGACTGAGAGTGTGTGCGCATCATGGAGAGTGAGTAGCAAGACATTTCTTTCCTGTGTAATAACAGTGGTAATGTGTAGTTCAGACAGAATGTGATCAATAATCCTATATGTATTGACTCAAGTGTAACTTTATCCCAAATACGTAGCTGGTATAGCGCTAGTGATTAGATAAAAAGTTCAGTAGTATTACAGTTTATTATAAGTGTTTTAACAGCACAGTGAAACTTCCTCCTTGTCGCAGTGATTGTTATTGGAGTCGGTGTCAGTAGCCAACGGGGCAGCTTTAGCACAGCTGAATGGGTTTACCAAGCACTACAAGCCAGTTCGAGTGAAAAGATGTTACTTTTTCACGTTACGACTATTATCCAATATGCTTTTGTATCTGATTTGCATATATTTGCCTAATTTGTTCCAATATGTTACATTTTCTTCCTCAGTTCTCATGCCCTCCATGCAAAGGGTCGATCCACATCTAAGTAAGCGCATTTTAATACTTCTTCCTGTCTCCACAAGTCAAAACTACAAGTCAAAAATGTACAACTGAATGCATTGGTGTCACTTCCTCATTTTTTGTTTAGTTTTTTTTTTCAGACCTATGGTGTGACTATGTGCGAACAAGAGTTTTGTAATTATGTATATTGTGTTATAAGTGGCTGTGTGTGAGCTCCATCTTTCAGTTCTGTTTCCTAAGTAAATGCAAAATGATTATGGCAGCTCATGGCTGAGGCATTTTTGGCAAACAGACATTACTTAATTATTTCAGAAATGTAACTTGACTTGTTTCACATTGGCTTAATGTATGCGAATGCATCACTGGCTGGCGGGCTCATCTGTCAGATGTGGTGTCAGCAACGCCACATTTTTATGTTGTTAAATAGCTGGAAACAGTGGACGGCAAAAACAGAAACACTTCCCAATCAGCTTTTAGTTCCTCTCTCACACAGGCATCATGTGGGGCTGATTTTGTTTTGTAAAAGAAAGTAGCAATGACAGATTCAGTTCATGCTTTGATTTTGATGCAGTGTGATTGAGGTATTCTTAGTAAACACTGAGACCATTTGCAGTGTAAAAGTCACAGTGCACATCAGGCTCAAATTGGAGGAAGACTGAAAAACTTGTAAACAGCAAGGTTACATATACAGTAGTGCTGTTTCAACAGTATGTCAGCAGCTGTTTCTGTGAGAAGCGCACCTGCACTGAGAATATAGTCTTGTAATGTAATATGTAAATAGGATCTTTAGAAACTCTGGGTTCAACTAAATGTTGGCTAATTTTAATGAACATGTAGATCAATCAGCAAATCAGTCCTTACATTAATGAATCACAATGTTCATTATAAATTGATCTGTTAAAACGATACAGAACCTGAACTGGGCACACATGACTATACAGTTAATTGTGCAGGGATTTAGGCTCCATCTTCCCTTTGTATTGAAAGCAGAAAAGGGAAATAAAGAAAATGGTGAAAGCATTAAAGAGTGGCTGTGTCCTGAAAATTTCAACACTAAGATGGGCCGTTTTGGTTCCCAGATGGTTCCCAGTCAGCCTGCATGCACACTTCCAGAACCCTGAAACTGTAGCAGCTAAATGGAATCCAGCCATCATTCATTTTATTATTTTCCTTGTACATTCTAAAGTTAAATGTGTTAATAATCATGTTGCCCAGTTTTAACCTACATATCAACATGTCTTTTAGCTGCAAATCAAATCAGAGTTTCCATTATTAAACGCCCCAAACATGGCCACTGAGTACTAGTGTACCTAGGCTTGACTTACTGATGCTGACTATTTGACCCTGTTACATTTTGTTGAAGCAAAATGAACAAAATCTGTTTAAAACATATGGGGAGGGTATTCATAGTGTGGTTGTCATTTTAAACCACTTTGTCCTGAGCCTTACCTGATGAAAGCAGGTTTGTTGGTGAAGTCACTTTCCCCAAACAGGAAAAACAAAAAGCAGCAAATTCTGTGTTGTTCTTAAACACATTTAGTTTCACGCTGCTTTATTATCACCTCCTCATTCATAGCTTCCCCTGCACGTCTCCTCACTGGCTGTTTTCATTGTGTATGCTCTGTAGTGTCTGAGCCAGTGATCCAGATCTTTGAGCAGCCTAAGCAGAGGGGAATGCGCTTCAGGTACAAGTGTGAGGGTCGCTCAGCGGGCAGCATCCCCGGCGAGAAGAGCTCCGACAACAACAGGACCTACCCTAGCTTGCAGGTTTGCAGCTGCAAAGATGTTTCTGATTATTAGTAAATAAAAAGCACCTGTGGAGCCCACTGGCTGTACTGATACTCACCTCTGCCTCAGTATGTATACCTATAAATGAATGCAAAAGCAACTTCCTCCACAGATCCTGAATTACTGCGGAAAGGGGAAGGTGCGTGTGTACTTGGTGACAAAGAATGAGCCGTACCGACCGCATCCACATGACCTAGTGGGGAAGGACTGCAAAGATGGGTTCTACGAGGCGGAGTTTGGTCCAGACCGCAGAGTGATCGCGTGAGTTCTCCTCCCACCATTGTCCGAGTTTTCATCGTCTTCACTGTCACAGTAATTATCATTTAGTCTCAGTCTACAAAATAAGTAAACAGACTCTGTTGCACTCACACAAACACACACACTGCAACGTAATTATTTTGTACTCTACTACTACTCACTCTATACAGTATGTCGTGTTTCACTCTATGGTTTCAAAAGGCACCCCATGTAAATCACTGACCTCTCAGAAACATAGGAAGAAACTCATACAGCAAATCGCACAGACGCACACAGCACGTATTTGTCTAAGCATGTCTGTGATGAGTATGGCAAAGTGGGATTTCCCCAAGTGACATCACTTTTGCTGTGTTAGAGAAAGAAAGCAGAGCGTGTATGTGTGTGAGAGCATAAATGAGTCAGTATATTTAGGTGTGTGTAATTTGCAAATTTCTGATGGTCTGATTAATTTAAAATCCAAACCCTTTAATTTACACACATTTAATTACTACTGCAGATTTGGATCAAATATAATCATAAAGTTATTCATGTGTTTGTCGTACTGTACTTTACTAGCCAAGCCAGTTGTGTGACAATAATTGCATCACTGCTTTGACCATTACACGCAACGTCACAAACAGCAGCCTTTGTCAGGTGTAGGTGTGGCCCCATGTGTTTTGGCTTCTGTAATGAACTTGTTGCAATAAGAGTCACCTTCTCATGGTTTTGTTATTATTGATTATTATTATTGTCATTGAGGTTCCTAGGGCCAGATATAAACACTGGGGTGACCGTGCTTTTACTGTTGCAGCCCCTAAATTGTGGAATAGTTTACCTTTTTATGTTAGATCAGTTTACTGATCATTACTTTTAAATCATTGCTTAAAACATATTTATTTGGCTTGACTTTTAATACACAGTAGGGCCTAATGCATTCCTTTTAATTTTAATTTATTGAATGTATGTCATCTGTGTGTCTGTGTCAATTTGGGTTTAAAGCCAATCATGGCACTGATGTGTGTATTTTTGCTTTGAAAGAACTAGTTAGTATATTTATGTGTTCTTTAGATGCTTCTAAAGCTTTTGATCATGTGAATCACAGGACATTATTCCAGAAATTGTGTGACGCTGGAGTGCCTAAATATATAGTGAGATGCTTGTCATATTGGTATGCCCACCAGACTATGTGTGTCAGATGGGATAATTGTATATCTGCACCCTTTCAGACCTGTAACGGGGTAAGACAGGGTAGTCTGTTGTCCCCAATTTTGTTTAATTTTCATATGAATGGTCTCTCTAAGGAGCTAACTTTGTGTAAAACAGGATGTATGGTTGGAGGTACAATTGTGAATCATTTAATGTACGCAGATGATCTGATGATCTTTAGTCAGCTCAGCAGGTCTCCAGCAGCTCTTGAATGTATGTTCTCTGGGGAGCTTCACGATGTCAAGTACAATTCTGCTAAAAGTGTTATTATGATATGCTGCACAAAAGAGGACAGGTCCTTTGCATTCCCTTTTTTTAAGTTATCTGGTAACATTTTAACTGGGTGTAATGAAGTTAAATACTTGGGTCATGTTATTTATGATTGCTTGTCTGATGACGGGGATATGTATCGGCAGTGCCACATGTTGTATGCACAAGCAAATGTGTTGGTTCGGAAATTTGGTTCATGCTCGGATGGAGTAAAATTGACTTTGTTTAGAGCTTATTGTACCTCCCTGTACACTGCTCATCTATGGTCTAATTATAAAAAAGGCAGTCTTAGGAAACTGACAGTGGCCTATAATGATGCCTTGAGGTTTCTATCTATCTATCTTATCTATCTATCTGTGTTATTGTGCTGTTTTATTTTTTGCAGTGATCTTATTTATTCTATTTTAGTAATTTATTGTGGTTTTATTCTGCTATGTAAAGTACTTTGGTCAACTGGATGTTGTTTTTAAAGTGCTATATAAATACATTTGATTTGATTTGATTGATTTGACACAGCTTCCAGAATCTGGGTATCCAGTGTGTGAGGAGGAGGGAAGTGAAGGATGCCATCGTACAGAGGATTACCAGAGGGATCAACCCCTTCAGCGGTGAGTCTCCCTGCTCCACCTGTCCATCACACTAATCACATAACATGTGTTCAAAATGTACTTTCATAGACTATAGTAATGTTGTATGTTATTCTGTGAACAAAACCCATTAAAAGTCCAAACTCAGTAGTAAACTGATCCTACTAACAATGATTGTGTGCATATTTAAAACCTGATACATCTTATGTCTCTGTGCCACATTCCCTCTTTCATTACCATGAACACACACAACACTGTCCTGCTGCCATAAATCCTCACTAGAGACAAAATGTGTAATCATGCGGCAGTAAAACATAGTCCCAACTAATGCACTGTTTACTCCCGTTTTATTTGTTAAAACCTACAGTGGCCAGTTGTTTGTGAAATTAAATGAAATATGTGAACCTTAAAAAGTTAATATTTTTGTAATCTGTTTCAATATGAGCTAACTTTGGGCACAACATCTGAAAGTACAGTATTTAGAGACAGACTAACGCTGTAGACTCGTTGGTGACAGTGAGACAAGACTAAGAGTCTTCAGCCATGCTAGCAGCTCTGTGATGTTTTAAACCTAATGCTAATGTCAGTATGCTAATATACCATGAATCATCATGAAGGTTTGTACAGCTGAGCAGCAAAGCAACATGTATTTGTACAGCTGAGCAGCAAAGCAACATTGCCATCCTCAGAGCCATGCCACTGATGTGGCTAACCTTTTAATTCTTGCCACTTTACTTGAAAGCAAGATTGTGATGAAGAAATGATATGATCTTACTCTTACAAATGAAAAGTCGAATTCATATGTATTAAAATGCAGTACACTTGCTGCTGCAGCCTTACTTGTTCTGCTGTGATCAGTGGGTTATTGTGCTAATGTTAATTAATGTTGGAAAGTTTAGATTGCAGTATAATGAATAATGACAATTTGCTAACTTTATAACTGTTCTTTTACTTACTAAATGAACGTTTTACTAAATTGTAACTGTAAATAGAAGTACAAATACTGAGAATTTCGTTTTTGCAGATCTGCCATTACACAATGATCTCTGAGTGGCTAATATCAGCTTAGTCATACATCATTCAGTCTCTAATGAGCAGTGGAAAAAATAATGAGGTAAACTACGTACCAAACCTGAATTGTGCTGCTGTTAATATTGCTCTAGGTTACTGTTATTGTACCTGCTTTTGCTACTGCTGTTAGTTTTACTGCTGTTGTTACTGTTAAACAGGTTCAAAACGCTATAAAAGAATTGTTTTCAAATGCTGGTTGACCCAGTTCTCAGGCAGCCGAGATGATTTTCCTAACATTGAATCAAAAATTCGCCCTCTTACCACTGCACTAGCTACAGTAATGCCATTTCCCCTGTGTGCTTCCTTTCTGTGGTCCTCCAGTGCAGACAAGACAGCAGTTCTCATGTACAAACAGGCGTTGAGCTACTTCCTCATTCTTGGTCACAGTTGCTCAATTCAGCACAGTGCAGGATGCCACGTGAGAGCTGGGAATGCAGGATTCATTAAAAGGGGGAGGGTGGGCCGAGGGGGTTCCCCAGCTCTCAGAGATGATGATAAAAGTAGTGCTTTACAGGTCTGTAAAATCATGGAAGGAAGGGAAGGTTTGTTGCCAGGTTCTGTTCAGACATACAGTTCATGTTCTGGTTTTCAAACATGCAGGCTTAGATTCCTTGTTGTTACAGATATGTAATATTATCACAGTATGCAAAGTGTGCATGTTGGCATGTCCAAGTAGTGACAGATATCTCTCCTCCTGTAAGGCACTCTATAGAGTCTCAAAGGCAGATAAGGGAAGTGGTTTAATGAAAACAGTGATACAGTCGACTTCTGTGTGATGTGAACCCCTAACCCGAGCTGCCATTTTTAGTCTTTTGCTCCGTCTGCTGAGTGTCACCATATATGACTACATCTCTGTTCTCTTACCTGCTTGATATGATCAGAATTAAGCAACTAAAATATATCTTAAAGGTTGAAAACCTGAAACAGCAGTAGTCATATCAGACTGTAAGGTGCTTGATTTGGTGGAGGAAAAGAGATAAAAGGTTGTATTTCTGTGTAGAAATAAATGTAGAATTTGCAGGTCATGTTGCCTTTTTACAGCTTTACCCATGCTTTAACAGAACAAATTTAGACTTATAGTGTTTGTCATTACAAAAAGAAATCAACTTCTATAAATGGATTGCGCTGTGAAAATGTGAATAACATGACAGAATTTCTCACTTTAATATTGTTTTTCTTTTAAACAGGGTGTCTTCTGTACCTTCATCTAAAAGGGAGTATAGGGAGGTTGGAGGTGACTAAATAACCAGGCTTTGACATCTAACACGGATGAGATCATATAACAAGCGTTGTGGCATTTTATCCTTGAGCTATTCTGATAATGATGTGTCAGTTTCCAACTAGCAACTAGATAGTTGTTGAGAGGGTGGATTTACAGTTAATATAAGGTCAATATTTTCACAGTTTTGGCCCTTGACCCAAACTGAGAGCAGCATCGGAATAAGATTCTAGAGTAGTACAAAGTGCAAGCTCCAGTCTCTGCATTCTGAGGATGGAGGTAAAACACTTGTGTGGCACTCATTTGATCATATGTAGTGAAGGTGGTGTTACTGGTGCAGGTAGACATGGCAGCACCGCAGAAACTATTGCCACAGAGTAATGGGCAGCTGGATGTCTTTTTGACATTGTTCAGACCTTCCCCTCTCTTCAGCTCACTTCTGCTGTGAAACTCAGCTGCTTCCTGTGTAAGGGGGGAGAAACGCCAGCCCAACACATTCACACAGCCACCTTTACACACATGCACAAACCCTTTTGACCTGAACCCATTTAAGCATGTGGTATACAGTATGTTGTTCAGCCTGCAGCTGTACATAAAACATCTCCAGCCTAATGAGATGGCAGCTGATGAGGCCACTGTGGCACAATTAGCAGAAAGCCCACCTCACCTGTACTAGTGATGACAAGGAAGTGAAAACTATCTGTGACGTAGTAATTTGTTTCTGTATTACTATTCTCGTGTGTCACGTGTCACAGTGGTGGTGTGGTGGTACAGCTGGTAAATGTTTGCCCAGTTAGCATGGGGCACAGTGCTTTCTGTTCCAAAAACTCTGAAGTCAAGGACGTAGCCTATAAACATTTCAAGTAACAGGTGCATCTATGCAGTACAGTAGGTGTCATCGCTGGTTTTTAAATATTACTAGGTAATATATAGAGGCAAAACTAAGATAAGATTTTGTTGATGCTTGAAAATAATTTCAAGGCTTGTGGTGGTATATCACTTGTAAATTTGTGAAAATATGTTTAAGCTTTAAATCTATATTGAGATATTCACAAGAAGGTTTTCTCTCTCTCTATGAAATCTCACTGTTGATATCATTTGTGCACATATTTTAGATGGTTGTTTTTTATTATGTTTCTACAATTATGAGGTTTGAATTTCAATTTTTTTTTCTCCTCAGGCTCAGAAAGGAAATTATCTCTAAACATAATTCTAAAACTCAAAAGTTTTTGACCCTTATTTGAGCCTATACAAAACATACTGAAGTTGCGGTTCATCACAATGGGAGTCACTGCAGTTGGCTAGAGACATGTATGGTAGAGTGTTAGAATTGTGTGGAACTTTAAAATGTTTAAATGCCACATTGTGTAGTTCTGTATGTATGTGATGCAACTATAATGTATGACTCTGGAGTCATTGCCTCAGCTTGGATAAGAAGTACCAACTGAACACTGCATGCCATGAGATCTGATGAAATTGTGAGTCATGCAGTGGAGACGCTGTTTGTGGTGAGACATGGCACCTGCCTCCCCTTCTTTCTCACTCTCACATTCTGATCCCACATTCATACAAACCACTTATCCAGCAACTGCCTTGTTTAGACAAACACTCACACTTAGAGACCAACTTAGTATGTTCCATCAATATTTGCTATAACAGTTCCACTTTCATAAACGAGCAAGTCTTCATTTCTCCCTCCTTCAGTTTCTCCACTGTGTGTCTCTGCCTCCTACATTAGACAAAACCTGATGACCAAACAGAAATCTGAAATAGAGTAGAGCTGCATGCAGCTGCAAGACTAGTTAGCCCCAAGAAGTTGATTTAATTTCAGTTATTGTTGTTATCACTGTTGAAGACCCTAATACAATAAGCATACATACCCACTATGCCATATACTATGTACCATACAGTACTGTATATGGGAATGACTCAGAGAAAATGTTAGTGACAATTGTTCAAAATTACAACAAAATGATGTCCTGCCATAATGGTGTGTATATGAGTGAAATTACTTGGCAGCACTGCAGACAAAATGCCATACTATTTATGCTGAATTATGGACAGCAACTCATACTTGATTGTTTAATCTTATTTCACTGCTAAGTTGAAATAAATAAAAAAAATTAAAAAGAAATGTCAAACTATCACAGTGAAACAGATTCTCACAATACTAATAAGTACAGCCTGTCTACAGCTATACACAAGTTAAATTTAAGACCTTTTAAGACCATTTTAATACCACTTTAAGTGAAACTCAAGACTGAACTTGGAAAATCCACAGATAAAAACATTCTCTTTCCAAGTAAACACATTGATGGCTAAAGTTAATAGTAGCCTAATACTTAAAGAAGGACTTGATGTGGGTTTCAGCCCCCGCTAACTTCAAACTGGGGCTTCCCTAGACGTGAGTGGCGCACATGTGTGACTTTGATCTGTTCAATCCACACCGACTCTGACCTCCATGTAGCGTCACTCATCAAAACAGCTGTCTGTCAGCAGGACAGCATGGTCTTCACCAGGCTGACTGACAGCAGATATGTACTGGACAAAAAGAAATCAGCGGCATTTGCACATATGGATTTATTTAAGTTTCTAACAAATAATTAGGCTAACAGTTGATTTAAGCAGCTGTCTGTGGTGATTACACTTCAAATGCACCAAAGGGAAAAAACAGCCTCAAAGTGTAAACAAGGGGTATAGGGATGACGTGTCTCAGAGTCAGTGTGGATCGACACATTTGATAGATTGGAAGTCTCTGCCTTGTGAGACAAGTCATCTTTTTTTTAAAGTATATATTATAATTTTTTGGTCAAATGTAGTTAGTTACCTGACATTGGATGATATGTTCTGATTTGATACTTATGTTGTAAATATATTATTTTCCTATAATGAAACAATGCATCAAACATGATGGTTTTAGTTGTGCTTGTAAATCAGCACCATATACTTTAAATATTCAATACAGGATTTATCTTTGAGCAAACAAGCCATGAATGCTATATACCAGTCTGACATATTTAGGCTGAAACTGATATCTAATATCGCAGCTTATGAACATACTTTGAGACTTCATGTTGACACCAGACAGCTTTTGTTTTGGGCATTATATCGTTTCTCAGGAAAAATGGGAAATAATTTGAGAGATGTTAGTATTTGTTTTGCTCTTTTTTTTTGCTTATTAATTCTGCTGCTGTGAACCACAGTCATGCACTTATATAATGTGCCTTACATTGGCCAGATTCCTTGAGAAGAGTAGTGGCTGGTGCCAGCAGGGCATGCAGAGGGAGAGCGGGAAAAATACCTAGCTCGCTGTCTGCACTGTACACATCCAGTGACACACTGACTAAGGATGAGGAATTTCCCTTCTGTGCATTTGCACATGGAATAATATTTAAAACAGTAAAAGCAGATTCTGGTATTGCACTGTTTTCAAAATATCATTTTGAAATGGCATTGAATTTGGTGAGAAACATTATGAACGATTCAATAAACAAAGCTTAAAACTTGACTTTCGCTCCTTTTCCACCACTTTCACACACGTCAAGAACCACCGTGGTTACTTGTGCAGGGAGTCTCATCTTTTGCCTCCGTGTTGTACAGACACCCTCACACACAGAGGCACAGACACAATTCTTTCCACTTTGAGGTGACCTTGCTGAGCGTCACCGTAGCGAGTTGTAGGCGGGGATGGCCTCGACTTGAGCATGATGGATAGAAATTGAGAGATGGAGGAAGAGAAAGTAGGCAAATGTGAAAGCCTGGTGTGTGTGTGTCAGTGTGTGGGCGTCTCAGTAAAAGCTCTCCCTATAGCGTGTGTGTTTGTGCTGCCTTTGAGGGTGGGATGTGTGACGTGCGTATGTTTGTGTGTGTGTGTGCGTGCAGATGAGAATGTAGGCTGACGAAAAGCATATCTGTGACGTGTTTATGTTGATCCAAATTTGAGGTTTTGTGGACAGCCTACAGATGAACTGAGAAGCATGAGAACATTATAGAAAATATATGCACAATTTCTAAATTAATGTCTATGCTTTGCATATTTTAACATGTTTACTGTATGTTATGCACTGTTCAACACACTATCTTTTGAGGCATTTAGTTTTATTGTATTATTCTGTGATTATTTATCAGACAATTTCAGCATTATTATAATTCCTCTAAATAAGGATGTAGAGTAAACATGCCTTAACAAAAACTGGGTTTAATCACCAGTTTGCATTTTCAGAATAACAGATTATTTAAGTGTGAGTTCACCCAGATCACAAAAAGACCCTTTCCCACTTTACCTCTCATCCTGTCTGGTCTTGCAAATACTGTGTTTTACTGACATTTTGAAATATCCACCTTCGATTTTTTTTTTAAAGCAGTGAAAATTTAACAGGAAAGTGCATTTCCATATACAATGCCCTGATTACTCAAGATAACTCAGAGATGGTGCCATAGGGACAACTTCATCAGTAGAAAGGAGTTCCAGTGACTGTTCCTTCCACCTAGAGTAGCTACTCTGGGAAACTGAGACCCTAAAGTTGCTCAAATTAAATTCCATTCACTTTAACATCTTTTATGGTGTCGCTGCAGGTGGAATTTACATTTACTCAATAACTGAACCTAAGTGCAAATTTGAGGCAATGCAGTGAAATTTACTGTATACTTCGGCTCCACTACAGTACAGAGGGAAATATTGTACATTTTACCTAAATACATTAAAAGGTGTGTAAAGGTGTGTAACTTTACAAATTGTTATTTAGTTGAACTGGCCCCTTAAAAATATACTGTCTACTTTAAATGGGATCAGAGTCTCTTTGACGTAAGCGATCCCTTCATTGTTGTCAGTAATAATGTGTTTCTTGTCTATTGTAACTCTGATAATGACGTTCCCGTTTGTTTGTGTGTGCCTTCAGTGCCGCGTGAGCAGCTGCTGCAGACAGAGGAGTACGACTTGAACGTGGTTCGCCTGTGCGTCCAGGTTTTCCTGCAGGACGAGAATGGCCACTACACCCAAGCACTTAGCCCCATTGTCACCAACCCCATCTATGACAACAGTGAGTGGCACAGCCCTGTTGTGTGTGCATCAGCTGTGTTCATGCTCACGTCATGTTAGGTCAGGGGTGGCCAATTCCAGTCCTCGAGGGCCGCTGTCCTGCTTGTTTTCCAACTATCACTGCCTGACCTGCTGCTGATTACCTGGCTCAGGTGTGTTCAGCCAGTCAGAAGCTGGAAGATACCATGTTAGATGAAAGTGGAGTGAGGAAAAATAAAGTGAATTGGTATCTTCCTTGAGGACTGGAATTGGCCACCCCTGTGTCAGGCAATTACAAGTGATGAGAACCTGATGAAATAGCCATATAATTTTACTTACAGGAACACATGCAGCCTGAGGTTGGGTATGTATACCTTAGCATTGAATAGACTGTGCATTCCAAGAACTGATGAAGTAAAGCATACAGTATATACTTGTATGCTGTTCTAATAGTCATGTCAGCATACTCTTACCTAGAATTTTATTAATGTTCCCCTAATGTAAGTATGGCAATAATAATAGCACTATGCAAGGACTGAGTTTCACAAGTAGCTGTGTTTGCACATAGAGTTCATTAGTATGTACCTGGAGCTGTAAGTGTTTGCTGCAAGACCTATGTCCTGTGTCCATTTTCAAGTGTTGCACTTCATGAACTAATTCAGTGTTCCTCACACACACATTGAGAAACGGGAAGTTCTTTATACACACTAACCCTCAAACAACACTGTTACCATGGAGCACTTCCTCTTTTGACAGCAGGCATGTGACATGCAACTTGAACCTGGTGAGGCTGTAACTGTAAACTGAATGTGTTTTTTATTTGTCTGAACTGAAACAGATAATGAACCAGTTACACCGAGTTTAAAAAGCTGTTTTTCAGTACAGTACAACAGTAAATCAAGTGAAGTCAAATTCATCACTCCAAGAAAAATAAATATAGTCCTATGTGTAGTATGTAGTTTGACTTGTTGGGTTTGTTGCCTTTGTTGGGCTGCACCTTTCAACTTTTTTTCTCCATCATCAGGGGCCCCAAACACAGCAGAGTTGAGGATCTGCCGGGTCAACAGGAACAGTGGCAGTGTTAAGGGAGGGGATGAGATCTTCTTACTGTGTGACAAAGTTCAGAAAGGTACATACTACAATGCTCTGCAGACTTTTTAAATGATTTGAATAGCATTTTATGATTTACACATTTTGCAATATGTTTTCAGTCTGATTTTTCCTTGTTCATCCTCATTCAAACCATTTCACTTTTCATGTTCCATAGTGCCCATCTCTTTACGCGTTCATTCAGTTTTCCATTCCTGTCATTTCATCATCCATCTTTCCTCCAGATGACATTGAGGTGCGATTCTTCTCCTCTGACGGCTGGGAAGCCAAAGGCTCCTTCTCCCAGGCTGATGTTCATCGTCAAGTAGCCATTGTCTTCAAGACTCCACCCTACTATAACACTTCCATCACAGAGTCAGTCACTGTGCACATGCAGTTGCGGCGGCCTTCCGATCAGGAAGTCAGTGAGCCGATGGATTTCAGATACCTGCCCGATGACAAAGGTGAGCAGCGATTACCTTCGTTCTCTGATTGGTAAATACAAACTAATACCATTCTTCTGTGTCCAGGAACTGGAGCCCTTTTCTGAATTACATTCAGATGATATATGTGAACATTTTGTTTGCTATAGATCCTTATGGCTACAATGAGAAAAAGCGCAGAAGAGAGCACTTGATGAAGATATCAGGATTGTCAGGTAAGACAAATGGTACTGTATGAACAGTACAGCCCTTTTGATATGATTCCACATATATGTCCATATATTTGTATGTTTTATAACATTGGTTTCTGGCCTTTCTTTAGGTGGTCCTTTTGCTGGTCTGGCTATGAACAGGCCAAAGGCAGTGCCACAAAGTACCATGAGTCACATGCGGAAAGGTAACTGGTTTAAGTTGATTTCCCTCCAACAGCAACAATTAGACATTAAAGGAGCATTAACTAAAATTTTACAAGACGTGTCAGTTTGTTTTGAATCTCATTAGATGCACTAGTGGCTGAAAAGAAATGAGTTAATGCATCTTTAAGACAAATGCAATATTTCCATCCATATCAGGATAATACAGTCCTGCTATCACAATAAAAATTCCCTGTATGTTTTCTAGACCACAGCAACATGTACCTGAGGCAACAGCCCACACCTGTGATGCAGCAACAACCTACTGTCTTCAACCAGTCCTATCAACCAGGTGCTCAGAATGTAATAATGACACCACAGGCTCCTAATTTACAAATCAGCCATTCATGGGCAAATCCCAACCCGACACTCTCAATGGACACAGTCACCATAAATCCACCTGGTGTCTTAAGCAACCTGTCACGTCCTAACAGCAGCAGACAGCAGCAGCCAAACTGTGGATCTGGTTACTCCCACAGAGGGGAGCTCAACAGCTGTGAGAATAATACCCTCCCTCAGCTCTCCATGAGGGACTTGCAGTGCTTGGATACAGTCCCCCAGACCTCTGTAATGAACCAGTCAGAGTCTCAGTCACTCTTCCATCTGCAGCACCAAAGGGATGAACTGTCCTCTGAGAACCAGGCCCAGAACCATCTAGGCAACCAGAACCAGGGTCTCCAGACTGTGTGGCCCAATTTCACTACCCTCAATACAGTCCAGAACACCTTTAATGGGTCGGTAACTGAAGGTGGAGGGGGGTCACAGGGGCTGGGCTCTTTCCACTTCCTAGACGGGATTGAAGGGGATGATTTTCTGAAGGGCCTGGTGGAAGAAGGGTCTCAGACTTGTTTCCAGTTGAAGCAGGAGCCCCAGATCAGAGTGGGACAAGAGACCCATGCTTCACTCATGCAGTCTCCAAGGGAAAGCCATAGAAATACTTACACCAACTTGCTTCCTCGTCCTATGAGCAATGACACCAACATGGATCCAATGGGGCAAGACAGTAGTGGCAACACCCAGCCTCATAAAAATCTACCTTACCCAAATAACGGCATGGCCTCAGAAGGCCACTTTGCAAATTTGGCTGACTGGGTCAAAGCAACTCGACAAAGCAAATAACGGGAGAGACATTTTTGGCATCGAGAAATAAATAAAAGCAGCTCCAAGGAGTGTTGCTTAGCCTTATGAAGCCAGCCAAGTTTTAGCCCACCATCCTAGCCTGAAAAGGCTCAGTGGGCATTTGCTTAGGTTATTACATCAGCAGGGATATGGCAAAAATTATTGGCAGCTGGCTGGCTCCATTCCCAGACAAAGGCATTGTTTCTAGGTGGCGCAGTGGATGTCTAGTTCCCTCTTTAGCAAAGACATCACCAATAATGCAGTTCCAGAACCTTGCATAATTTTGCATGATTGATGTACAGGTTCCCCTCCAGACAGTCACCTCTGAAGTGTTGGGGTGTTTTGAAAAGTGTAAAGTATCATTGTTTTAATCAGTCCTTCAAATTCACAAACTGGTTTGGCCTCTGGCTGCTGGTGTCCTACAGACTAAACAATAAAACGGAGCTCACATGAATTCTCAAAGCATTGTGGGATTCCAGGCAACATGAAAAGGCTTTGGAGGGGTCCGAAGTAAAAAAATTTTAACTTTATGCAAGTGAAGGCAAAAATCTTTTTTTAAAATAAGCTTTATTGAAGATATATATATATATATATAACAAACAAGGCAATATAACATTTTGCCAATATGGTGTTGGCACCAGCGGATGTCCGGCAAGCTCACATGAATCTGCAACTGCCTGGAGATTATGCCCATTCAAGGAAATCCTTAAATTATCACATAATACTTTACTTTGGTTAAAAAAAAAAAGTCTTGCGAGGAAGAGTTTGTGAGACGTGTATAAACCAAGTTGCTTCTGCATAGGAATACTAGAACATACATACATACATACACCTTATTTTTTGAGCTTTAGGTCACTTCTAAGATGATAATTCACCATTCTAAAATTGTAGTTAAGTTAAAAAACAAGGAAAACCATGCCATGGGCTCTTTAAGTATAAGAACGTCACATCTGTGTCGACACACTCAATGTGACGGACGATTTGTCTGCTTCCACTGGGTCTTCATTAGGCTGTAATGATGATGATCTCATCACACCACACGCTGATGGTGATTTTTGAAGAAATGAATGTACTATGTTCTTTCTTTGCAATTGAATTGAAGTTGGATTAACTGTAAACATACTGTATAGTAATAAATGTTTTTTGGGGTATTCGCTTTTGGAAAGAATGGCAATAAATAAAAGTATTTGTAAAGTACAACAGACAAATTGCTTATTAACATGGATTTACTTTGTATTGCTTTGTAAATGATTCATACATATTATACCTATAAGTTAAGGTATGTCACTTTTATTGATTTACTGTTATGCTCACTCTGTACATACATATTAGCCAAGGTTGAGAGTGAAAGCAATAACCATGCTGAAACGCTCAAGAACCGGCAAGTTACTAAAATTTCCATTGAGGAAGTGGGAGGAAGCACATTTAGTAGTGTCTTTCCTTTGTAATGACTGTGTCATACCAGTGATCACATGTTATCCAGAGTTCTCAGAGCATTTATACCAGATGTTTTATAAATGTCAGCTTTGTGCATTATTGTTTAATTCATTCAGCTGATACTCTTAATTTTACTTACTTATAGAAAGTGTCTCGGATGGACCCATGGCTGATGATGGGCAACTTTGGCACTTTGTCACCTTTAGCCTAGCTCATCATATCATGTTTTCTTACTTGTATGTTTTCCAGAAGCTTTTTGGTTATAAATTAAATATTTTGATTTGATGTATGTTTTTCTCTACGCCATAATTTCTTAATAAAGGAAGTCTGCCTTCCATATCTTTTGTCATATTAAATTGTATTTTTACACTGTATAAATGGCAAGAACATGCAAACATAAATTTATGTAAGTGATAATGCACAACAGAGTGCCTGGATATAACAAAATAATGGAAAAGGAAAAGGCCAGGTGCATTGTTTTCTATACTGAGAGTCCATTATCACTCATATACTATGGCCACCAAACAAAAACAAGTATATTTTATGATAATACAATAAATTATCATATAATATTTTGACAAATTAGGATATCATTATATTGTCATTTACTGTCTTGTTTCTAAATGAATGCTAACTGAATGTTTACTAAGACTTGCATTATAAATACTTGAGGAGCAAAAAACTATAAAAGGTTAACTATAACACATCAATATTGAAATAATGCCCTGGTAATTACACCACTATAATTTTTTGTTATTGCCCCCCTGAGCCTAGTTTCTCTTGTTAGTTTTGCCAGTCTTGCCTGCCATTCAATAAAATGGGAGTATGATTTCAAAGTGGCTAAACTTACACCTACCAGCCAATGAGAAACCAGTGTTTCTTCATGGTCACGGTATACATCTTTAGAATTCATAAAGGTACACTCCTCAGCTTTGATAAAGCCTCCATTAGTCTACCAAAACCCCCAGATTTCTCTTTGTTCTTAAGTTTTTAAAAATGTACAATCAATATATGTGATAAATAATACATTCACCTGTTAGACAAGAAATTGTAGAGTGTGTATTGTGTTTGCAGACAGTTCTGGCCATCAGATGTGGTCCAGTGTGGAGAGAATAAGGCACTGATAGCCTGACACTAAGCACGTCCTGACAACTACATATATCTTAAGAAGTGGTGACTAGACTGAGCCACATGACTTTGCACTTTAAGTTTTCGCTTCACTCAGCTTGTCCTCACCTTACTTTTCATTATGACTTAGTCAAGGCCAAATGATTTTCATCACTTTTTCATTCCAGTTAGGCAAAACAACAGCCAAAATCCTAAGTTACAGTGAACTTAAAGTGAAAGTCTGAGTAGTATGAACAGTGAAATCTGGCTTCAGCGGCCTAATGGAAACCTGTTACTTTTCATGTGCAGGCACAAATGTAAATGTGCTGGTGCCTTCAGCATTAAAAATATCTGCATCACTATGTAATCTTTTACATTTCTAGGCCAGGGCAGCCACTTTGGAACTACAATTCATTACATTAAATACAGCACTAGAACAGGATAATGCTGTGTGGCTGAGAAAAACACTTTATGGAACACAAACATTTAAAAAATACTCTAAATTATCAGGGTTTTATATAGGATATGGTCAAATTTAGAAGTCACCATTTGCACAGTAAAGGAGAAGTGACTATAACTAGAGTCACTACTGTTGAATGATGTCAGTTGAGTAAGTCTTCAAACACTTTAAGAAATCCAATTTGCTATTTAATAGCCTATCTCTTGTCAACTTTTATTTTCAATTTATGAGTTCAAGGACCATGTCATACAATTCAAGGTAACAAGATGGCGCCCTGCGAGGCAGACGTGTTTGCGCGTTCCACTCTCGAATGCCGGCTTTTTTTCTTTGTTTTCTTCTTTTTTGTGTGTTTTTTACTTTTTCTGCAGTGCACAAATGTCATGCACTACTAATATACAACAGACAGGCATTGCTGGATATTGTCAACTCACAAAGCCGCTGGGAATTTACTGATTTACTGAGCTACAACACATTGTCCGCTCCTGCAACAACAACAACCACAACAACAACGATGACAACCACCATCACCCTCAGGGAGCCCCCGGAGCACCAGGCACAAGCGAGCAGGCTAAAATCAGGAGAACAACCTGGAGACGCAAACGGGGCAAACGAGGGGGACTCCATGCTAGGCTAAGGCGTTACTCGACTGCCATTACCCAGCCTCTTCTTAGCTAGTGTACAGTCTCTGGAAAACAAACTGGACGAGCTAAGGGCTAGGATTACATGACATCTGTAACAACCTGGAGACGCAAACGGGGCAAACGAGGGGGACTCCATGCTAGGCTAAGGCGTTACTCGACTGCCATTACCCAGCCTCTTCTTAGCTAGTGTACAGTCTCTGGAAAACAAACTGGACGAGCTAAGGGCTAGGATTACATGACATCTGTAGTTATGAAGTCCTTTGAAAGACTGCTGTTGTCCCACCTGAAGGACATTGTTGACCCCCTGCTAGACCCCCTACAGTTTGCCTACCGGGCAAACAGGTCAGTGGACGATGCAGTGAACATGGCACTGCATTACACCCTGCAACACCTCGACTCCCCAGGGACCTATGCACGGGCCCTCTTTGTGGACTTCAGCTCAGCGTTCAACACCATCATCCCAGACATCCTCTACTCC